TCGTTGGTCTGGCAGCCCACAGACCTCATGGTGTGGGGTACAGGGATGAGACCAGGAGGGCCGTGCCCGTCCTCCTCCTGGGGCTTCCCCCCTGCACTCGGGACCCCAGAAGAAGCACATGCACCAGCCAAGGGCCCTGGACACGAGGGAGTGGGCAGGCTGGGCCGGAGAGGAGGGCTGCTGGCCAAGGGGTCAGGGTGAGGCTGGAGTAAAGGGTCAGGAGGAGAAGGAGCCACAACAGAGAGGGTTCTTCTCAGGGGAATGGGAGAGTCGGGAGGGTAGATGACCTGGGAAGAAGAAAGCAGAGAGATACGGAAGGCAGGAACTCCAGTAGCCAGGAGAGGGCAGAGCCATGTGGCCAGCCTTGTCATTAGGCCATGGAATGCAGAAACCACCCACCACCCCCAAATCTTTCTCAGTCAGCACTGGGGCCCAGGAAACCTCCAGATCCCACTTCCCAGGCCTTGGCCCCAGCATTTGCTGGCTACCTTCTCTACCAGCTGCCCCCCGGCCCGCCTCCCACGTGGCTGCACAGTGATGACAACGCCTTCAGTCAGCCAGTCCTGTGCAGAGGCCCCCGCCACCTCCTCTGACTCCAGCTGGATGCCCAGCCGGCCCTGCAGCTCTGCAATGAGCTGCTCCTGGGATGGGGTCCTGCTCAGGGTGGCAGGGTCCAGCCGGCGGCGAGGGGAGGGTTCCCGGGACATGGGATGGACATGGCCTGTCTCCCGGCTCCTCCTGATCACAGAGCGGATCTGGGGGTGGAGGGCAAAGCTGTCACCATCCCATTCCAGGCAAGGTCTAATGGTGTTCAGTTCACATTAGGGTGTCACAGGGGAGGCAAAAGCAGAGTGAGGAGGGCAGAGCTGCGGTGGGGAAGCAGGAAGTAGACAAGGCTGACTGGGCACAGCAAGCTGAAGACACTCCTGCGGCCCTGCATCCACCTCCAAGTCAGCCTCTAGCCTGGAACACTAACTTAACTTCCAGGGACCTCCGTCTCTCTATCCTTAAAATGGGACAGCAGCATTTTGTTGGCTTACCTCATAGGGTTATCACAGTAATTATTTGACAGCCCTTTCCCTCCCTCCCTTCTTTCCTTCCGACTTAAATAGAAAAAGGGAGGCTCCTTTTTTCTTTACATCTTTTAACCAGTGTTTTTCCCAGTTGACCTTGTAACTTACTCATCTGCAGTGTGTGTGTGTGGGGGGGGGCTGGAAAGAGGTGTAAAGTTCGAATCATACAAGAAAAAAATAAGAGCCAGGCATGATGGCGCACAACTATAATCCAAGCACTCAGAAGGCTAAGGCAGGACCAACAGCCAGGAGTGAAGGAAGGAAAACCAGGTATGGTGTTTTATCTACTTTTCAGGAATTATCACATCTAATCCTCTGGGTGACCTGAGAAAGTGTGCTATTATTGCTCCCATTTTAAAGAAGAGAAAGCTGAGCCTCTGGGTGGTTCCCCAGGGTCACATGGCTAGCAGGTATTGCCAGAGTGGTGTGTGGGTCTGTATGGTTCCCAAATCCATGCTTTCACTGTTCTGCACATTGAAAATGGGACAGCAATTCTAAAGGCAGTCTTGAGCAAGCAGAAGGTGGAGCATCACCACCACTCAGCAGGGTCCAGGTAACAATACTGCCCGACACATCCTCAGGGCCACCATCCTTGGCACTTTCTGCCAGGCAGACATTTATAGGGGCTGCATGCGGTTAGCAAGGAGTGGCCCACACTCAAGCCTAGTGGCTGCACAAGCTGCTGCCTGCCTGGCCAGCGGTGGAGATCCTCTCTGAGGTGTTGGGTGTGCCCATGACCCCGGCATGAGGAAACTCCGGCTCTTCCTTCCTGGCCTCCAGAGTGGCTTTGGTGGCACCTTCTGGGTTCCTTGGGTTCTCAAGTGCCTGGGTTGGTCCCCCCAGGCTTCCTCTCCAGGGAATCTTTCCACCTAATTGCTCCTCATTAGCTGGGGCAGGGCAACTGCTTTCTAGGCCTTCTGGTTCTGACTGTGCTCGCTCCTGCTGGCCACATTCCTTGGTGAGACTCCAGGTGTCTGGGAGGACAGCCTGCCGATCCACTGCCATGACAGCTGGCTCGGTCCCTTCCTGGATGCTGTAAGTCACTCCGGGGGGAATCTCAGGCCTGGATCCTGGCACAGCCTGTGGCCATCTCTCAACGGGAGCCACCGTCTCCTCCGAACACACATAGCTGGCCAGCGGCCCCTGGGATCCTGTGCTCACAGCTGGGTGCAGAGTGTGGCAGAGGGGAGTCTGAAAGGGCTTAGTCATGGAGTCTGTGAGGTCATTCCTAACTTGAGCCTGGCTCTTAGCACCAAATGACTGCTGAGAACCCTCCCCAGAGGGACACCATGAGTTCGGAGTGCCAGATGTCCCCTTGAGACTGACCAAATCAAGCCTCCTGGGAGCCCCAGAAGGTAGAAGGACCTGACTATTTCCTTCCCTATTGAGGACCATGGGGGTGTGGCCTCCATGGGAGAATTTAGTGGGAGGAGGAGGATGAAGAAGGGTGATGGGTAGGAATGGAGTAGAGCTGGGCAGCAGCCCCTGGGAGCTCAGCACCACAGCAGAAGAGCTAGTCTGGAGGAGAAAGACAAAGGGAAAGGGAGAGAGAGACATGGAGAGAGGTGAGGCAACAGGCAGGCATGGCCTGAGAGTTGAGAGAGCCACCATCCGCAATGCATAGACATAAGAGTCTTTGGGAAGAGTCTAACCCCAGAAATGCTTGCCTGAGCCTCACATCCTTGCACTCTAGGAGACCCAGGGAACAGAAAACATCCACAAAGCCATGCTTACAAAGTCACCCACAGTAAGCACCAAGGGGACTTGCAATAAGCTGTATGATGGGAAGAGAGCTCCAGAGCTGGTTCTAGGTGCAAACAAGGGGAAGCTGGCACAGGCACCAGCTCTGTGCTCCGCCCACCCCAGCTTTCCTATATCCTCAAGTCCTTTCTCTAGGGCTCCAAGACACAGTGTAGCTTTTCCTCGTGTGGCACTGGACTACAGGTCTAAGAAAGCAACTGCAGCCTTAAGGGACAGGTACCAGCACCATCAGTGCCTGGATCCTGACTGGCTGCTTATCACCACAGCAACAAGGTGATTGCTATTACCAGCCCCAATTCCACCCAATCTCCCACCTCCGTGTGAGCTCCAAGTATGAGTCCAGCTGAAGGGAGGCAGGAGGCACCTTCTAGGCCAAGAATGGACAGACAGCCTGGCTCCCTTCTCATATTCCCCAAGCTGTGCCTCAAAGGTCTCTGGCTGACCCACATGGAGCTGAAGTCAGCAACTATGAGAAATTTCAGTCAGTATTAATCCCTATTGAGGCACCACATCTTCTAAAGAAAACGTTGTGGACAGGCAGGCCTGGAGAGCCTGGGAGGGGAAGGTGGGACGCCTCATGCCGACTGGCCAGGTGCTTGGCAGGTTAAGTTTCCCACAGACAGGACTCTGGGAACTCAGGCCCTTAAAGAAGAAAGTGAGGGTAGAAGGAAGCTGGCTGGAAATGCTGGAAAACCCCATCCCCACAGCAGAAAGAAAGCGGGTGCTCTGAGGACAGATAGCGTGGGAGATACAGCTCTGGGACAAGTGACCTCTCAGGCATGAGGTCCTGGTCCCACGGGGCCCAGCAGGACATACCCTCCCCCACCAAGAGCAGCTATCAACACAGGGCTCATTGTCACTGTGTTCCAGCTCCTGGTCCCCTTGACCTGGTGGCTGGGATCACCAGGAGAGGGAGGAATGTTCCAGCTAAAGGCATCTCTGGTTTCTCTGCCTTCACAAGCTGCTAAGGAGCTCAGTCTTGAATATTACCTAGCCTCTCTCCTCCAGGGCCCCGAGGAGCTGCTAGTCATACTGAGGAAGGGTAATGGATGGGAGCAGGGAAGACAGAGAGAATCAGAGGGCACCTTAAAATCCGACAGTGAAGCCATGAGCTCGTCCAGCTCCCTGGTAGCAGAGGAGGCCGAGATGCGTGTCTGCTGCTGGCTGGAGGTGACTCGCTGTGGGCTGCTCATCTCACCTTGGTTCACAGTGATAGCCGGGCTGTGGGGCAGGCATGGAGTCAGTAAGGAGCCCAAGGGTCAGCCCCAGGCTCCACGGGGGGGGCTCCAGATCAACGACACCTCCAACTCCAGGGAAGGCCACCAGAACCCAGCAGCACCTTAGGGATCCCCATCCCTGGGAAAGAGTGACTAGCTAAGAAACAGTGCTGAGGTGAGGTGACCAGAGAAGGTAGGTGGTTCACAGTACCCCTACAGGAAGACAGGGGCACCACTACAAAGCCTCTCAACACTATACACATGCGAGATTATTACACATCAATAAACACTGACACATGGTGGCTCATCCCTGTAACCCAGCACTTGGGAAGCTGAGGCAGGAGGGCTACTACATAGTGAGTTTCAGAAGAGTCTGGGATATAGAGTGAAACCCTACCTCAAAATAAACAAGACCTGACGCTATTAGGGGCTTCCCTAATAGCTGTGATTGCCACAGCTACGAGCCAGCCCCCACCCCCCCCAACATTATATACTATTATATACTATTTGGTCTCACTCTATTTACTATGTAGGGTCATCTCCATTATTACTGTCTGCTTTACCTATTTTATAGTTTATGTCGTATTTTTGCGCTATGGTCTCATGCAGTTCAGACTGTCTTGGAACTCACTTATATAGCCCAGATTGGTCTTGCACCTGAGATCTCCAAACCTCGACCTCCCAAATGCTGGGATTATAACCATGTGTCACCATGCCCTACTTTGGCTTATTCCAACTTATAGAGCGAGAGTAAGACTGTTGTAGCTGGCACAGCCATGATCTAAACCCTGTGCCACATCAGCAAACCTGTGCTAACCCTGGCTTTGCCGGGTCATGCCATATCCCCAGGACCTGGCAAGTAGCAGACACTGTAGGGAGCAGGTGACTTCAGGGCTGATGGACAGGTACCACACAGCCCGAAGACAGTCGGGGTGAGACTTCAAGAGCTTCCCCAGCCTGGGGAGACCCTAATGGATACTCACACAGGGCTAGGCACAGAACTCTCCAGTTCATCCAAGAGGCTCTCCACGCTGGGCCGCACATCCTCCAGGCCCCGGCCTCCATTTCGCTTTGGCTTCTCTTTCATCAGGGGCCCAGTTTTTCCTCCCAGGGTACTGTTACTCTCTGGGACACCATAAAGGGGGCTCAAGGCTCCAGGTAGTGGGGGGCTTGAGTTGGCTTCATCTTGGAGATAAGGAAACAAAATGGTTGCTCATCCCTGAGTCCTCTAGGAACCCAAAGGCCCATGAGTAGTCCAGAGACCCGCTCACACCTGCAGGGAAGCCTGAAGGGTTGTGCTGCACAGCGTTCAGTTCTAGTAACAGACGGTCAAGCTCCGAGAGGTTGTTGCCCAGGGAGGAGCTCATCATGGTAGGTGAAGGCTCTGCGGACTTGTGTTTGTTGGGGAAGCTTTGAGAAGGAGAGGAAACAAGTAAGACTCTTCTGCCCTGCACTGGATGTGGCAGGCCCCAGATTCTCAAGGCCGGAGGGGTGGAATGTTACCAAGTCTCTTCAGCAAGAAGGCGGAGGGTAGGGAAGGAATGTGGTAAGGCAAGGAGGAAGGAAATTTTGCTTCAGTTTCTCAACTACAGAGATGCTGTCTCTACAGAGAAGGCAGTGACAGGGCAGAGGGGAGCCAGCTGACAAGCACAGGGCCTGGCAGGGGCCTTCAGGCCTTCTATAGTTCCACCAGTGGCCCTAGGGTTTCCCAGAAGCCGGGCTGATGTACAGTGCTGGTTCTGTACCTGTAGACGTGTTCTTCCTCGCCTGCTCGGGAACAGAGAGCGCTGTCCTGAGGGTTAGAGGCACCGGAAGTCTTAGCACTGGAGCTGTACACAGGTGACGGGGATGGAGGCTGCAGAAGAAAGAGTACTTTACTCAGGCCACCCCCAGGCAGCTCCTGCTCATAGCTTGTCTCACCAGGGAATTTCCACAGCTAGTCAGGTGATTAATACTTGGTCACTGGCCCCTCACATGGTGGGTGAGAAGGGCAGTGTATGACTAGGAGCCCAGAATCCCAGTCCATCCCCAATGGCTTTCCATCTCCTCGGCAGATCAGCTCCTTTTACCACTCAGCCCCCAAGGGCTCCGCAGACCCCACCTTACCTGCTGGTGAGTGTATCGGGAACCACTAGGCTGCCACTGGTCTAAGGGGTCAAGGATCGTGCCATTGAGGGCCTCGCTGGATGGGGGTGGTGGAACAGGGGGTGGCACTGCAGTCTCCTGATAGGTATGGTTTCCAGTTGGGTAGGAGTAAGGGGGCTCCTCTGACAAGAACACTGGCCGTTTGGAGATGTGGGAGGTGGTTGATTCCAAGTCTGCCAGCAGGGCGTCTGCAAAGAGAAGACGTCCACTGGTGAGAGTTGGCCCTATTGGGCACTTCCCAGGGGCAGTGTCCTGCCTTCCTGAACTTGAAGAGATCCTGTCTGGCAGACACCTGCTGCTTCGATGGGAGAAGAGACCTGGAGTTTCCACATCGGCTGCCCGTCCTCTCCTCCCTCAGGGGTTAGATGCCTGGCTCTGCATTCCTCCTGACAAGGCTAGGCTGCTGCTGCCTGGTGTAAGCAAGAAATGCCTGCTTAGAACTCTGATTCCTGAGGGCAACTGGGAGAGCTGGGTGGGAGGAGTCCTACGTCATGTCACAGCACAGGGAGGGGCTGGGTAGATAGAGCCAGGTCCTCTCTGGACTTCTAAGAGCCTCAGCCCAAGTCTAAAGACAGGGGGTGGCCTTAGGGAGCACCTGTGCTCCAGGTAGGAGCGGAATTCCATGCTCTAAGCTCCTCCTGAGGCCCCAGGCTGTGGGTAAGGTATGCAGAGAGGTAGGGGGCTGGCATGAAGCCAGCTCGGCAGCAGCCACCCCCTCAACAAGCTGGGAGTAAGACTGCTCTGCCAAAGCCTGGCAAGCAGCCCAGCCCTAGAAACTCCAGGGCCCCATGACTCCGCTTTTAATGGGGGGTGGGTCAGATCTCCAACACAAGCTGCCATTACCCTGGCATGCAGTAGCCGACAAGAGGCTCAGGTTCTCGACAGGAAGGGACAGCTAGAGGGACAGGAGTTGGAGGTACTGACCTTCCTGCCATAGCCTCCCATCTTGGGACCTTCCACAGTGCCACGGCCTGGGTACAGTCCAGCCCCGCTCACCACACCCTCCCTCCTTCCTGCACTGCTCACTGACCTGCTCACTCTCAGCATCTAGTGACCTGCTTCCTGGGCCCTCGTGAGTGGCAATCGAGGGGCAGTGGCTGCACTGCACTGATCACCATCTACTAGGAACCACTAAAGGCATCTACACGCGTGGTCACAAACAAGTGCCCCTTCTGGTGACCTAAAAGGCCAAACTGTTGTCTTTGGAGCTGAGGAAAGTAGGCTTGGAGGCTAGCAGTACCTGCCCTGAGTGATAAAGCAGGAAAGGGCAGGATCACAAGACTCCTCAGACTCCTTAAGTCCCAGACACCAAGCCTGCAGGAGGGACTGCTGTGATTTCAAAGAGACAAGATACCAAATCTAAGGAACTCAACTTCCTACACACCAGGGGCTCGAGCTCTGATCCTTGCTGGCGGCCCTGTCTGTAGCTCCATTCCCATGCAGAGAAAAGGGAAGCAAGGGCCTTTGAGGTCATGCCCTCTCCTAGCAGCCCTGACTACCTGTCACTAGGGTGGGTGCACCTACCCCTGGCTCCTGCTGTATGGCTGGACGAGAAGTTGTTCGAAGGCCGGGACCCTGGGTCCCAGTCTCTTGCTGCTGAAGAAATTCTGCTCCTGCAGCCCCTCCCCGTCCAGGTCCCCCGGAGGAGCTCTGACTTCCTGCCTCCAACAAACCGGAACTACAGGGAGTCTCTATGAGTCTAGGTAAGGGCATAAAAGGAACTAATGTCCAAAGCCAATCCCAAAGAGTCTCTAGGGCCACACCTGCTGTCCATTTCCTCTGGGCCCAGCCCAAAGTAGGCGGAACTCCTCTTCCTCCATCACAGACTGAGCCTGCAGGGCCAGCTCCACAGAGCAGGCCACAAATACAGCCCTGATGGGGCTGGCAAGAGCAGTCCTGTACACCTATCAGGGCCAAGAGCTTCACCTGTGGAACTTGCCATCCCCCAACCCAACAACACTGCCATAGAGGGCTGGGCTGAGGTCCCCCTTGCCAAAGATGGCTAAGGGATAACACAGTTCCCTCCAGTTCCAAACACTCCAAGGAAGACAATGGCCTTCCCTGCTAGCCGGTAAATCAGGAGTTCCACTGCCCGCTCAACAAGTCCCCATGCCCTGCACCCATGGTGCGATGCTGTGTCTGGCTTTATTGGTTTATGGGCCAGATTCTGGTTTGACTTCTTTTTTTTTTTTTTCTTTTTTTTTTTTTTCTTTTTTTTTTTTTTCTTTTTTTTTTTTTTCTTTTTTTTTTTTTTCTTTTTTTTTTTTTTCTATTCTATTTTTATGGTACTAGAGCTAGAACCTGGTGCCTTGCAGCATGGTAACGTCCACCTCTGAACGGAGACAGGGTCCTGTTATGTAAGCCAGGTGGCCCCAAACTCTCAATTCTCCGACCTCCATCACCACTCCCAGCGGCACGAGCCTTTCTCATTTATTTGTTTTCTTTCTTTTCTTTTGTGTGTGCGTGTGTATGTGTGCTCAGCAGTTCGAGCCTGTGTGGAGGTTGGAAATCTATGCCAGGTATGTCCTTTTTTGGGGGGAGGGGTCGAGACAGGGTTTTTCTGTGGCTTTGGAGGCTGTCCTGGAACTAGCTTTTGTAGATCAGGCTGGTCTCGAACTCACAGAGATCCGCCTGCCATTGCCTCCCAAGTACTGGGATTAAATGTGTGTGCCACAATCACCCAGCTACCAGGTATATTCTTTTATCACATGCCACTTTGGTTTTTGGAGTTTTCTGTTTGTTTTTTGAGACAGGGTTTCTCTGTGTAGCCTTGGCTATCCTGGTACTAACCTCTGTAGACCAGGCTGGCCTCAAACTCACAGAGATCCACCCACCTCTGCCTCCTGAGTGCTGGGATTAAAGGCGTGCGCCACCACCACCTGGCCCAGAATACAACTTTGTAGAGTTGGTTCTCTCCTTCCACTTTTGCATGGGTTCTAGGTATTAAATTCAAGTCACCAAGCTTACAGTACCTTTACCCACTGAGCCATCTCACCAGCCCATCCTTTTTTGTTATTGTTTTTGTTTTTAGAGATATGGTCTATGTAACCCTGGCTGTCCTAGAGCTCTCTATGTAAAACAGGCTGGCCTCAAAAAATAACATTGTTTGTTTTGCGATAGGGTTTTACTAAACTAGCTAGTCACTGAGTCCCTGGGATCCACCCATTTCTACCCCCACAGCACCGAGGTTCTAAACACACATTGCTACACGAGGCTTTTATATGGGAGCTGAAGATCTAAACTCAGGTCCTCATGTTTACACATCAAGTCATCACCCCAGATTGCTTGCTTCCTTCCTTCCTTCCTTCCTTTCAATTTATGGAGAGGTTTGGGGCCAGCAAGATGACTTAGCATGTTTGCTACTACACTTGATGGCTTGAATCCAACAGACCCTGGGACCCACACGGTAGAAGCAAAGAACAAGTCCTGCAAGCTGTCCTCTGGCCACCACCACCACTACACACACACACACACACACACACACACACACACACACACTATATAAAATATAATTTAAAAGAAAGAGAGGGCTGGAGAGATAGCAAAGGCGTTGTAAGAGCATAAGCCCCTGGTTTGGTGTCCAGCACCCACATCAGGCAGCTTACAGCTGCTCTAGGGGTCTCCAAAGCCTCTGGCCTCTGCAGGCACCTGCACTGGTGTACACAAACACATACAGACACAACCTCAAACACGGTCAAAAAGAAATTTTTACAAATCAAGAAAAGAGAATCATTTAGGGTTTACAGAAGAGCTCTAGGTGATATGGATAGTGGGGCCTAGCTCAGCGCTAGACTTCTCTTCAAGATCCAGTCTAACCACTCAGGTGTTTGTGTTGGAGAGAACTCTCTTTTTTTTTTTTTAATTTGGGACTGGAGAGATAGATACTTCCACAGTAAGAACCCTGGCTGCTCTTGCAGAGGACCTAGGTTCGGTTCTCAGTACCCACAAGGTAGCTCACAACCACCTGTTAACTCTAGTAACGGGAGATCCAACACCCTCTCTCAGACCTCTGCGGGCACTGCATGCATTCAGTGCACCTGCACACATGCAGGCAAAACACCCGTGCACATAAAATAACTTTTAGATTCACATCCATTTATTATTTATTTCTATGCACATGAGTATGAAAGTCAGAAGACACATTACGGAAGCCAACCTCTCCTTCCGCTTTGCGATACGGCCTACATTGCATGGGAATTTCGGTGCTAGACTGCAGCCACACACCCCTTTACACGGCTGCTAGGGATGAACTCAAGATGTCGGGTTTGCCTGGCCAACGCTGTGACCCACTGAGCCATCCCTCATTGTGAATAGTTCTTACTCTGCAGTTTATAAAGGCATGTGAAATGCATTAGCAGTGACATCAGACTATTTACTTTGTGACATCCAGAAAAAGACCTTGCTCTTTTCTGGATAAAACATGAAGTCAGCCTGGACGAGAGTCACGGAACAAGAAAGAAGTATTTAGCCAGGTGGGGTGGGGTACACCTTTAATCCCAACATCCAAGAGGCAGAAGCAGGTGGATCTGTCTGGTTTGAGGCCAGCCCGGGCTACAGAATGAAGTCCAGGACAGCCAGGACTATACAGAGAAACTTTGTCTCCAAAACAAAAACAAAAAAAGAACATTCAAAATTGTGTGTGTGTGTGTGTGTGTGTGTGTGTGTGTGTGTGTGTGTGTGTGTAGGAGAAAGTACACTATCTCCCAATTTCCTTCAAATGTTTGACTGCCTGAGAGAGAGGGGAACTTCAGCAGGTACCTAAACAGGCACAGCCTTCTGACATGGCTTCCTCTTGTCTCTTTACCCTGAGTCCTTGCCTGGTGGCTTGAACAGGACCTGGAGCCCCTGTGCCCCAAGGCCCCAACAAGCTGCTAAAAGAATATACGAGACAGCCAAAAGAGACTCTGGGACTCTGGATTCCACAGCAGACACCTAGCATTTCCCATAGGCCACAAACTGATTAAAGGCTAAAGTCCCCCCTGGAGCTCAGCAACTCTCCTCCTTCCCCCTATCCTCCCACCCTGCCCTGCCCTTGAGTAAACAGAGCCAGAAAGAAGCTTGCACAGGAGTATACCTGGCTACAACCTTTGCCTAGCTCTAAATATACAAGGGGTACTGGTAACTCCTTCACCTCACACCTCAATGGCGCCGTCCTTTAGCACAAAGATCAGACACAGCCTCCATCCTCCTCACAGAGCCACCTCCACCCTCCTCACAAGCTGGAGACCTCAAAGTCTTCAGCATCGCACTGCTAAATTGTCAGGTCCAGGCCTGACACCACTGCAACTCAAATGCAAGGCCTAAATCTTGAACCCACAGAAGAGGAAAAAAGCAGAGGCCACTGAGC